ACAATTGAAAATTTTTCTTTTTGACTTGATATGAGGACCCCAGCCGGTCCCCAGGTCAATCTTTTGTCAATTAGGATGCCGAGGTATTTTACTTCGGAGGATATTGGGATTGGTATTCCTTGAAAATAGAGCGGAAGGGGTATGGACTTTTTTATGTAAATGGAACATAAATTGATTTGTCAGGATTAATCTTGATTTTCCAGTAGGATGGCCATTTGATTATTAAATCCTAATGTGTTTGTAAAAAATGTACCTACAGTTTTTACAGGATCTTTACCAGGTGAGAAAATTGCAGTGTCGTCAAGCATAGGTGGCCATAACAGCATTTGGGAATGACGATACAGAGTTACCATACCGGACTATGTAAGTACGGTTTTCTAAACGATATCTGTGTCTTTTTTGGTGCCTACAGATGTTAAAACGATAAATATATTATTGATAATTTTCAATTATAAAATTATGTATACACAGCAGTYWAGGTTCACGTATTGTTCTGTGCTTAAATGTTAAGTAATTGTTTGTGTTTTTTAATAAAATTTTTTTTCAGGTTACTCTAATCAAGAATCCAAATATTCACCATAAGGGGAGGACTTAAAAATTGTTCAATCGTTTCCTAAAAAACTATTTAAATTTAACTGTGATATTTAAATTATTTAATTTTTATTTAAAAGTTATAATTATTTTATATATYCAATAAATATGGTAAATATCATTAGTTGTACATCTGTATTTGTTTTTAAGAAAACCATTTTTATTGGTAAATTGGTTCAATACCTGACTCATATAGGTCATAGCACTGAATATGGGAAATTGCAAAAAAATATGTATCAATAAATTTCTTTAAAACCGAGCATCACATAAAAACATAAGATAAAATGTAAACACATCAAGTTCATAGCCACAAATCACAATGTAGTACCAAATATTTTTTTGAGAAAATTACCACAGGTAAAATGGAAGGATGTGTTATGTCATAAATATAAAATTTATATAAATAATAAAATTTAGTAATGTTGTTTTTTAATATAATTTTTTATAAAAAAATAAATCTATACTGGTTAGGTCGTCCTTAATTTTTATCATTCAGCATGCTACTGTCTGTCAATAATTATTATTCATTAATATATATCACTATATCAGGGATGGCCAACTTGCAGCTCGCATCATAGTTAAAGTGGCTCGTATCTTATTGAAAAAAACTACTATTTACTTATTATTGATAAAATTATAAAATGTATTGTTTAACATTTTAGCTCTTGATAGTTGATATTGTTGTAGCTTGTGGATGTTTTCATGTTGGCCACCCATGGTCCTTATATCAAGTCCAAACTAAATTATAATGATTTTTGAGTTGACATCATATATCCATGTAGGTTTTTTATGTTAATATAAATTATTATAATTTATAATATACTATCTAATATAATAATAATTATAARCAAAATAACGAAATCACGGTAAGACATTAAAATATTATAAATTCAAGTGTTGGGCATAGGGAAAAAATTGAATGAGTCAGATAACCACTGGTATTACCTAATAAATTGGTTAATATTAAAAATAAAATACAAATTAATTATAATTTTGACTACCAAAGTCCTATTTTATTATCCACACATACATTTTATTTGATAATATTTTAATACATAAATGTGCACTAAATAAGTTAATAGTTGAAATAATTAATGATTACAATTTCAAGATTGTAATATGATTTGTGCATTTTGAAGTTTTTAACCACTAATACATTTAYGATATTAACTATCAAAGATATTTTATAAATACCCAAATTTTTTCAAATAAATTAAATTTCTTGTTTCAATACCTATAGCAGACGGCAGTGCTTAAAACAATATGAGTAATAATTTTTTACAACACATACAAAAAAAAATTGAATACAATTTCTTTCTTAACATTAACTCATAATTACCCTTATAAAACAGTGGTCCAATACRTTTTACTAAATTTAATTTCAATATTAACTTAATAAATTACAATACAAAAGCTGTATCAACGTTTCCACCTAATTATTTGGAATAATTACAAAGCAGTCTAAATAAAAAACAATGAAAGAGTTAATTTTAAATTAAATGTTTGATGTTGTAATRTATTTCAGATACAGTTGACTACTAAGGGTAGAAAAGTATATAAACTAAAAGATGAGAAAATAACACAATATAAAAGTATAAAACATTCRAGTCAAGAGTTACACAATTAGAAAAATTTCAAACACTTAAAAGTAACTTTTAAATGCATTWRTTGATGGTAAWATATCATTTATACTTATTTAAAAGTTTTTAATTTCAGTTGTATTCAATGAATTGACTATTAAAATTKAAAAAAACCAAAATAACAAGAAAATATTTTAATTTCCACGATAACATCATAGTTTATACTTTATTAATAATCTATTTTTAACTAKGAAGGATTTACAAAATTTGTTTTGGAATAARCTAAATTAGGAACAATGCTTYTATTTTATTACATTTATCAACTTAATATTAATAATGGTATTTCCCTTTATTAATTATTGAAATACTTATATTTGGRTTTTAGAGACTATRAAATTAATTCTTTAAATTGATAATATTATAATGTTGTTAATTGTATTGTTTT